TAGTCCGGCGTGGCAAGATGGCCGACGGTCCCGGTGCGCCTGTGCCCTTCCGCCCCCCCCGGAAGTCAGAGCCCTTCACACAACACTTCCGGTGCGCCTGTTCCTTACGCCGTGCCCTCCCCCGGAAGCCGGCGCTCTTCACACAACGTACCCACTCGCAGCTTGAAGTCATTGAAGGAGTGTTTGTTGATAGCGTCCAGCTTCCCCACCAGGGCAAAGGCAAACTCCACCATGGTGCCGATATGCATGTACTGCCTCTCGGGCTCCTGAGAGGAAACAAACACACGCACGTGGGGTTAGAGGTCAACCGGCAGGGAAACGGTCCCTTGGGTCACAAACCTGGGCTCCAGGCAGACAGCAATGCTTGAGGTCAAGGGCCGCAATGCCCGGCAGACAGGCGTGTGTGAGGATTACCCATCCTCCCAAGGGGACCCTGTGTCCCGGTTCATTCTTGTGGCCGCGGGCAGACCTGAGACGCTGGAAGACACGGAATGGGACCTATGTGGTCTTAACCCAGAAACTGCCGGCAGAAGACACTTCGAGGAGGGGCTGGCTCCTGGTTCTCCGCTTGCCCCGCATACCTGTCTCCCCCGTTCTCCGCTGGCCTCTGGCTCCGAGGGTGACCTCTGACCCCTGCGGGACTGGCTAATGGGAGGGGCCAGGGAAGGTCAGGGAGAGCAGGGCAGAGAGGTCGGTGTCCTTTCCTCCCCTTCCCTACTCCACACCTGCCACACGGCTCACCTCGGTTCTGGAAACACCCCATCTTCCCTTTTAGGGGAAGGGTGTTATGTGTCTCCCCCCTTCTCCCAAATTCATAACCTCCGAATCCTCAGTATTTGCTTTGCAGCTTCTCATGGCTATCATTAAATAAGAGATTAGGATCCAATGAGGGATTAGTGACGAATCCAGCATGACTTGGTGCCCTTCTAGAAAGAGGAGATTAAGACACACAGAGAAGGCGACACGAAGAAGCAGGGGAAAGATGGCGTCTAGGAAGCGAGGACAGAGGCTCAAGAGACACCAACCCCATCTGCACCTGATCTCTGACCTCTAGTCTCCAGAAGTTTCTGTTGTTTAAGCCGCCCAGGCTGTGGTGCTGTTACAGCAGCCGGAGCCCGCGGATACAGGGGGGTAACGATTTCCTGTCTTTACTGTCCCTGGGGGATTTATCGCCCCTTGAGGAATAGTTATCAAACACATAGAGCTGGAGGAAAAGACCAGTTCAAGGCTCCCAGTGAAGGTAAGTGGGAATCTGTACTCCCATTTACTACTAATTTCTATTTCTATTGCTATTTCTATTGCTATTTCTGTTACTAATTTATATTTACTATTAATTTGTAACACCTATTTGTATTTCCTTTTGAAAGTCACCCTTGTAAAATTTCTATTTTGGGTTATTTTATAAACACAGGTTCTTTACTATTATATGCATATAACTCATAAAATGTGTTTACATGTCCGAAAGATTCCCGCTGCCCCAATATTTAACGACTGGGCACACCAAGAAGGGGCGTGAGATGCAGTCCCAGCGCTGGCCTGCATCTGTGGCTTGTGGTTTAGAATCAGTGCGGTCTTTTATTTCCCTCACTCGTCTGTGAGCTCCCCAAGGGCACAGACTATGTTCTATTAATCTGCGTCTCCACAATATGAAAGTGTCTGGCCCAGGAGAGGCACCTGATACGTGTTTATTGAGAGACTGCATTTAGATCGCCGGTCGGGTAGCCGAGAGGAAGTGCGTAGGAGGAAGGGAGAGCCTTGCCGAGCTCTGGTGGAAGGTCATTGCCGACTGATGCTCGTTTGGGAAACATACACCCGGGGCGGGGCGGGGCGGGGGGGGGGGGGCACTGACGCACCCACTGAAGTGGGGGAAGGCTCAGAAGAGGACACAGGGTATTCAAGTGGGAAGACGGGGAGCAGCCTCAGCCGGCTGGGGGAGGAAGCAAAATCAGTAAGGATGCTAGAAATACTTGAGAGAAGAGCAGGAGGGGCGGCCCTTTGTGGAGCTCAAGTGTTTGATCCCGCAGGGGGCCCCAGCAGAGCAAACTCAGAGAGAGAGAGAGAGAGAGCTCTCAAGACGGTGAAAGGGGAGGGACATGGTGACCATGGGGCGCATTCACCATGGAGGGTGAAACCAGCAACCAGCTCTGAGGGTTTCAGGAGGGATGAGGGAGGGGGACAGTGGAGACAGGGGATGTGTCCTGCACCCTGAAGGTGACAGGGGCATGGAGAAAACCAAGGTAACGGCCAAAGGAGGAAGGAAAATGACAATGGGGTTATTCCCCGAAGGAGTCAGGAAGGGTAGCACCAGGCAAGTCTCTTGATGTAAACACTGATGACACCTGAGTCGGATCATTCTTTGTCCCGGGCCGCGTCCTGCGCCCTGCAGGATGCCGAGTGGCACCCCTGGCCTCCTCCGAGAGATGCCCCCTTCCAGGACTGACAAGAAAAAATGTCCCCAGACACTGCCCAATGGCCCCGAGGGGCAAGCAGCTGGCCGCTGAGATCACTGCACTAAATAACATAAACACGAGCAGAGGAGTCACTGAGAACGTTCGTTCTTCCTCTCCTTGGAGAAATCCTATCATTCCAGAGAAAGACCGATGAAACGCTACTGTTGCCACAAATCCTCAACTTAAAAATTGCGAGAGAAAATCCACACAATTTAAACAACTGGAACTATGGAACACACTGCCAGCTAACGTCGGTGAAAATGCCGTCATTTCTTTTTTTATTACAGTTTTTTGTTTTAATTTGAGAGGGGGGGGAGAGAGAATGAGTGGGGAAGAGAGGCAGAGGGAGAGAGACAGAGAATCTCAAGCAGTCTCCGTGCAGAGCCCGACACGGGGCTCGATCCCACAGCCCTGGGACCGTGACTTGAGCTGAAATCAAGAGTCAGACGCTCAACAACTGAGCCATCCAGACGCGCCACAGAGTCATTGCTTGACAATGGTTCTGCTCTTCTATCAGAGCTTGCTAATGTTTCTGGTCTCGTGACCCACAGGGACGGTGTGATTGGGAAGTTCATGCCTCCAGTCCATTGGAAACATCTTGCTCCTAAACAGGAAGCACAGGGGCTCCTGGGGGGCTCAGCTGGCTAAGCATCTGACTCTTCGTTTCAGCTCAGGTCATGATCTCATGGTTCGTGGGTTCAAGCCTGGCTTCGGGCTCTGCGCTGACAGTGTGGAGCCTGCTTGGGATTCTCTCTTATCTCCCTCTGTCTCTGCCCCTCCCCTGCTCTCTCTCTCTCTCTCTCTCTCTCTCTCTGTCTTTCACACACAGACACACACACACTCTCTAAAACAAAATAAACTTAAAAAAATAAACTGGAAGCACGAACTCTTAAATCAACAGGCAGAATCCTGTGAACATCACGACTGTTCCAGCAAGGGGGACAGATTTGCCACAGGGGGGGAAATGGTTTGCTGTCTCCTGAACCATGGTAAGACAAACCAGCTTCCTCCCCTGATAAATGATCACCCAATCTGTTTTCATGCAGCGGGCGTAAGCTGGAGGTTTTACCTGACCTCCGTGATGAATGAAGAGATTGAGTTCTGGGAGTGGGGTTTAAATCCAACGTCCGTAACTTGTTCGGGCTTAGTAAACCCTGGAAAAAGTTATGCTCGGTCTCAAGAAGAGCTCAGTTCGTTTCAAGAAGTCTTTATAACTGAGCTTTTGATAAATATTTGATGACAGTATAAAGCAGCTCTTTCTCCCACGACCCAAGTGATTTCTGTGAGACGTCTCCAAATATTTAACCGACTTCCAGGGACATGGCAGTAGACACATTGAGCTCCCGGAACACATCTTGCGAGCCGTTTGCTTTGGCAATTCCACCAGCAAGGAACCCCGCTTAAGTACATGCGTCTTTACTGAGGTTGTTTTGTAACTCAAGTGCCTGTTTGGTAAACACCGAATTTTTTTAGGCTGAAATTAACGTACACCTTGCCTCCTTCCTTGACCTCTCTTCTCTCCTCCCTTCTCTTTGTCCACCCAGCAAACATTCACTGTGCCCCTGCTGTGGTGGTATCTACCTCATGCTGAAGGTTTACAACCACTGCCCAGGAGCTGTTCTCCCACTTGAGGCCCCTGGGAGATCCCCTGAGGTCTGTCCTTTCTCTGAAGGGAACGTCCACTGTCGCCCCGGTGAGCCGATTGGCACGGCCTGAAGATCGGCTTGCGCCTGGGGCGACACTCGAGTGTCCGGAACCTGTCAGAGGACACCCCTGGGACTCACAACGTCCCAGTGTGAACCCAAACCCCGAGGCACGAAGAAGGATTTATGGAAAATGGCCTGGCTGCTAGGCCACCTGTGGACCCGTCTAGACTCAGTCAACTCACATTCACTGTTTTCCACACACCTCACTTTACAGAGAAAGTATTTTACTAAAATGCACATTAGGGGATGTTCTAGCAAGCACCCCCCCCCCCATCACGTTTTAAACCATTTTCCATGAGAAAGTTAGTTGCCAAGCACACGGGTCACTCAGACCCACTGTCATGGTTATGAGGGTCCATACCTGACGTGGCCCGGTTTTCAAATATACTAATGGAGGAGTGACAGTAAGATCGTCCGTGCGGACACTGGAACGCTGACCTTGTGCCAGCTGCTGGGAATTCTCGAAGGCTACATAGCAGCAGTGTGCCTGAAGGTATTTAATCCTCACGCTGAGTCCCGTGAGGGACTTTCTGTCTTCGTCCCCACCGTGCAGATGGGGCAAGGGAGGCCCCGGATGCTTCCTAACGGGTAGGAGCCGCACAATCAGGCTTCCCCGCCAGGAGTCTGAGTCCGGGGCCCTGTCGTAGCAGCTCTGTCGACTTGCCCCCCACCCCGTGTGCATCTAGAACGCGGTGGGAACTGCGCCATTGGCATTTTATGTGTCAGCCTCGAATCTTCGCATCTTTGTGTTTCCTTCCACTTTAAAACATTTTGCGCTGCACTCAGTTTCGTGAGCTTCCTTGGGGTAGATGTACGCAAAATATGCACAAACGTGTGAACAAACAGGTAAGCAGTTTTCCTTGATAGCCTTGACAGTAAATGGTGGCAGGTAGGTTGGATGATGAGCCTAAGAGATACTCAGCTGACGGAGAGCTATCACCGGGAAGTCGTCACGAATGGTTCTGGAACTGCCCGCCACCCCCGTGGACAGCTGAAACCGTACTCGGTATCTTCGAGCACGGACGGTGCATCCAAAACTAACGTTAGTATTCCATGTCCTACGAGACAGCTTTTCTTTTTGACTCTCCTGCTTTGCCGATGGCATCATCAGCAGCAGATCCCTAAGTCGGAAACCCAAGATGCTGGCGAGCCTGGCCTTCTACGCCCCCTCCACCGCGGCCCCTCAGCTCCCAAGTCCGCCTCGCATGGGCACACTTCTGCCATTCACCTCTTCCTTTATTTTCCCCAGGACCGCGGTTTACATCCTGACCACCGCTTGTCCGAATGTAGGAAGTTCCCGAATTAACTGTCGGTGCTTTGGAATCAGGCAAAACTAGGTCCAGCCCCAGGTTCTATAACCGTTAGCTGTGTGGCCTTGGCTGAGTCACTCAACTTCTCTGGGCATCAGTTTCCTGGTCTGTAACGGGACAAGAACTACTATCTCTCAGGGTTGTGGGTAAGGTGAAATGAATTTGTTAGATGGATGCAGCCTATATCCTTGGGGCTCAGGATTTATTTAGTTTCTTTCATGATGGTTTAGAGAAGCAGGTCACCCTGACGTGAAAAGCATCAAGGAGGAAAATGTCAGAAACTGTCTCATGCCCTCATTCAGAACCTTCTCCCTTCGAACACACTGGGCATCCTATGGGGATGCCCGGCTTTGACAATGACCTAAAAGTCTGCCATTTCCAGTGTCTTTGAGACTCTCGGTGGATATAGTGAAGATCAGTGGTTTAGTTTCTTTCGGTTTGCAGCTTCCTGTTAGTAGCACGAAAGCAGGAAGAGATTTCACTCTGCTTACAACACATCACGGTAGCTTTGGTGTTTGTACAGAAATACACAGCATCGGGTGCCGCTTTTCAGTTCAGCAGAGACCCGAACTGTTTTCTACTTTCTCCAGTAAAGGGAACTATGGTTATTAGTCTCAAGGTGTGCTTTAGCTACCAGGAGCCCGGCAGCAGAGGGTCTCAGAGCGACTCCCCGATTCTCCCGTGGTCAACCTGGCAGAGACCCCTTGCTGTGGATGGACGTTTGCACCCCCGAGAAATTCCCATGTTGAAGCCTAATCCCCAGGGTGATGGATTAGGAGGTGGGGCCTCGGGTTAGGTCATGTGAGGGGAGTCCTTGTGAATGGGATTAGCGCCCTCACTAGGAGGGGCTGGGGACAGCTGGCTTCCTCTCTATGCCTTCCGCCAGGTGACACACAGCGAGAAGACAGCCACCGGAAGACCAGCAAGAGGGTCCTCGCCAGACATCTCACCTGCTGGTGCTTTGGTCTTGGACATACCAGCCGTTGGAGCTGTGAGAAGTAAAGGTATGTTGTCACCCAGTCTATTGGCGGTTGCTAGAGCAGCCTGGGCTGACCGAGACTGTCTCCGGTTTTCCCAGACACTCTCCACGTCAGCCGGCATTGGAATCGTTTGCACACACGCCTTTCCCGGACTGTAAACTTGGGGGAACGCTTGCCACAGTGGGGAAAGGAAACACCTGCTGGATGTCCCACGAGCTGAGTAAAACCTAGAACAGCCGAGCCTGAGACGGAGCCATTAACCTGAGTCGCTGGATGCGGATGGGAAACGTTTTTTCTTTGCTTTGTTGGCAACTCAGTTTTGCTAATACGCTGGATGCGCGAGTGTAGGCATCTCATGGGCTGATCGTATGGAGCCTGGGAACTCATCTGGGGGACGGGGGGATCCAAATAAAGGAGACACGCTGGCGCCCTCCGCAACGGTGTCTCTATGGGGTGAACTGGGCAAGAACCAGATGGAGCCAAGGGTAGTGCTTAGTAACTACCCTCAACCTGCCACTCTGGGTCCGCTGCTGAGTTTGTTGGCATATAATAAATAAAAATACTAAATTCATTTTAAAATGATTGTAAAATCAAGTAGTTTTTACTTACAACAAATAAAATAATTAAATAGACTAAAAAGAGACTAAGAATACAAATGCTTTCTAAAATTTTGAAAAGCACCAGTGCTCATTCCAGGGTGAAGAATAAAACCTCCCTGCCTCCTCCTGCTTCTCTGCTTCTTCCCTCCCCTGTATTTTCTGGAGCAACGAATTATTTCCTGTCAAAGTGGTGCCAGCAATGAGTATCCATCTACTTGAGATTGTGAATGAGAGCTCGTGGTTTGGTTTATCACAGCAATAATATAATCCAAGCGTGAATCTGAATGCAGAGTTTTCATTCTTGTGTTTTTGTTTCAACCTATTTAAGTTGTCAGTGATGTTTCTCTGAAAAAGATCAGAAGCATTTATATAATGGCTACAGCCAGAGAAACCCTGGTCATTGACTAGGCCACGAAGGATGGTCTTCATAAACCACAGAGCCCCTCGGAGGTCGAGGAGGCGAGGCTCTAGAGTGCAGCAGAGGGAATGGGGCAACAGGGAGTCGTGGGGAGTGTGGCAAACTGAGAACACGCTCAAGTCTAAATGAAGCAGCTGCTTCTACGTTCCAGCTGATGGACTCTGTCATCGGGGATGAAGATCAGGTAGATAATCTACCAGTTTTCAGGAGAAGCCGGAAATGATAATTTTTTGGTGAAATGTCCTTTTTCTAAAAAAAGGACTCTGTAAGTCAAGAAAAACATACTTGGGACCACAATTTGCTGTCAGGGTTTACCGTGCAAAGGCCATGGCATGGAACAAGCAGGAGGCTTTGCACCTGGGTGTCCTGCAAGCAGGTGAGGTCCTGGCAGGTGGGGGCGGGGTGCCGGCTGCTGACTTCCGTCCCTGGACGCCTACTTGTCAGGCGCGTGTTCACAGAATCACGAGTGGGGTTAGCACGCCAGCCTGTTCCCAGTCTGACGTTTCATTTCTTGACAAATGCCTGCTTCTTTTAAAAACAATCAGTTGTGATGCATAATGCAACCGACCATTTTGTCACGTTGCCTTTCAGCTTAAAATCAGAATGTACCGTTTCATTTAAAAAATCCAAACAAACGCGGTCAGCCCTACTCTGACCAGGTATTGACAGGCTGCTATGCATCCGTTTTCCCAATGGAGAAGTTATGCTGCCCCCCAAGTAGAAAATGAGGAGGTTTTCTAGTCTTACATGTAAGAGCTCGATTTCAAAAGGCTTTTACCCAGATAACTCTGCCTCTTTTGGGATTTAACGAAAGCACATTAATCCTTGATGAACCCAATATATTTTGCAAATCGAATGTCTCTTGTTGCCAAACTAAATGTTTGGCCAAACAATACGTAGCAAGGTTTTTAGGCTTACAATGAGGAAAACAAGTAGGTAGGTTACAGGTGGGTTACAAAAGGCAGAAGACATGTTCATTTCAAATATCTACATTGATATTTATCAAGTGTTATCCCCCCACACCAATCAAACGTAATGTGCTTTCCCTGGAGCAGACTTTCACTGCACTTCAAAATATTTCTAGGATGACCTTACCAAGATCTAATTAATGCCCGAAATAGAAATAGCTCATATGGAGAACATTCTCTGCAGGGACATGACGACATATCATATTGCATTTATGTCCGAAACCCTCGTAGCTGTTGTGTTGGAGGGAGCGATAGTAACAATATGCAAAACAGTGTACAAGTCACAACTGTATTACTATGGCTTTTAGCATTTTTATTACCTACTGTGGCCAAGGAGTATTTTGCATATTAATGCAGTCTTCCCAATGGCCTTATGAAATGGGCACGCTCCCCATTATGTAAGGACACGGGAGCGCAGAAAGCTTAGCTACTGCGCTAAGTCATGAGTGGCCTCACTTGAGACTCACGTTCTTTTCCACTCGAGCTTATCGACAGGGGTGACTGGTAAGAAGTTGGGAAGCAGCCCAGGGGTGGCTAAGAAGGCCAGTCTGGTGGGTGCGGTTGATGAAGGCAGGAGGGATGGGCAGGTGGGACAGGAGAGGTGGGCTAAAGTGAGGCAGGAAGCAGCAGTGAGTGACGGGCACAGACGTGAACGTGGCACGGGAGGGGTGGTGAAGGAGCCCACGAGGCAGCAGCAGAGCTCTGGACCAGCAGGGGAGCCCTGCCCCAGGGTTGGCAGCCCAAGTCTGTCGCTGCTTGTTCTCTCCGTGACCTTGGGCAAGTTACTTCACTGCTGTGCCTCAGTTTCTCCTTCTCCATCTGTAACATGGATGGTTGGCAGGGGGGATCTCTCAGGCTTGTCAAAAGTAGACTCAGGAGGCATTTTGCGAGTGTTTGGAAACGTCAGGGGGAAGAAGGAGAGGGTTTGGATCGGGAGTGGCAGGTGTGCGAAACAGGGAAGGGAGCCACCCACTGTTCTGGGAGGTTAGGTGGGCACCTTCTCCGTCCTCCGCCAACGAGCCGGAGTAGTCGCCATGCACACCGCCCCCTGCTGGGGGTTTTGGGGACGCCGCCTACGACAGGGCACTACGATCTGGATGGTGGATAAGAAACGCACTTTTGCAAGAAAGCTGAAAGTGACACGCTGCCCGTGGGAGGCAGGGAAATGGGCTCTAGACACAGGAGGTCAGAGGAGGCACAGTTCCTCAGGTCAGGGCGCAGGACAAGCTCCCGTGAAAGTCGGAGCTTTGCCTCTGTGGATGGTGTCTTCAGTATGCGTGGGACGACTTGGAGAACTAGTGGAGACGGGGCTCTCCAGCGCCATCCTCAGAGACACAGGGGATGGCTGGGGCCCCGTTTTGGGAGAAGGGGGACGGGAAGAAGATGAGGGGGTTAGAACTGGCTGTCCCTGGAAAGCTGGAATGGTAGGTCCGGCCCCACGATCAGGGTGGCAGGTGACGGTTTTGGCAGGGGCTGAATCCGCAGAGGGGATGGATGGAGACCCCTGACTGAGAGCAGCTGTCAGGGCAAGAGCACGGACAGTGTCCCAAAGGGATGGACCACGGGCAGGTGACAGACAGGGGGACTTCTAGGCGAAGGGGGCCATCAGCTCTACCGGACGCCACAGGCAGGACTTCAAGAACGAGCGGGAGGAGTACACAACCCGGCTGGGGCTCTGGAATATGGAAGTGCTTCCTGGTCTTCAAGAGTGGGATTTCTGTTGTTGGTATTGGTGGTGATGGGGGGCGGGACAGGGGCCCCGGGAAGGGGAAAGATAAAGGCGGTGGATGCGGGTGATCAGTCCACAGAGTGTGCCCGAGGGAAAGGAGAGACGTGGGCTGCAGGGCCGGGGTCTGGAGGAGGCAGAGTCAGGGAAGACGGGCAGACGCGTCAGGCTTTACCGGACGGGGGAGGATGCGCCCACCCCACACGCTGAATGCTGAGTGGGTCTACACCAGCGACGCCTCTGAGAATCTCCGCGCTGAGCCCCACAAGGGATCAGAAAGCGGCTACCGGTGAGCTAAGGTCTGGACTGGGCGTGATCAGGCCAAGGGCCCTAAATGACTCCGAGAGAGGAGATCAGCTGGGGAGGCCTCAGAATCAGGGCCCAGATGACAGGAGGTGAGTGAGGCGCCCCCCTCAGGCACAGAATTTAAGGAGGCACCAAAAAGCTCAAGAGTCATGATAAATGACATCCTAATGCAGTATTTTAAAAATAAAAATGCAGAAAAATCCAGAAGGAATGTAACAAACTTTTAAATGAAGGTAAGTATGTGGTGTGAATTGTGTCCCAACCCAAATTCCTATCTTGAAGTCTTAAAATCCTCCCCACTAAGAACTTTTCCTTTCTTTCTTTCTTTTTCTTTCTTTTTCTTTCTTTCTTTCTTTCTTTCTTTCTTTCTTTCTTTCTTTCTCTTTCCTTCTTTTCTATTTCTTTCTTTCTTTCTTTCTTTCTTTCTTTCTTTCTTTCTTTCTTT